TCTGTGTGTGTGTGTGTGTCTCTCTCTCTGTAAGTTTGTGTGTGTCTGTCTGTCAACATACCGATTTCCTGTTATTATAGATGCAGTACCAGTAATTAGTGCCTGTTGGGCAACTGAGACATTGGAACTTTGTAATTAGGGTGATCATTAACTGAGAGATCGAACAATAACAGTGGCAAACTGGGGACATAAAAGACTTTCAAGAATGAGTACAGTGCTCAACACTTAGTGCTCTTGCTAAATTTAGGTGTGGGAGACAGGACGATAGGCGAATGTTACAGTGAAGGGTGGCCTTTGCACTAAGGCACTTTTACCAGACACATTAGACCTTATCACATGACTTCCTGTAGGTCAGGGGTTTCACATATAAATTAAAAGTTATGTGACTTTGGTTGGCGGTTAGCGAGCCAGTGTTTGGCTGTCCTGTGTCAAAATAATAGCATTGAAAGTGAATTACATGTTATTTGTGAACTGTCTGGTATATGACAATTTGAGAAGAACTCTTTTTATAGAAGCTGAGAATGTGTGGGGCAATTGCTATCTCCTCTCAGATGCAGGAAAGTTCTGAGCGCTTTTTAATCAAAATGAGTTTACCATGTGCCCAAACCTGTTTTAACATGTTTAACATTCCCCTAAGGAGATGATGTTTATACAAATGATATACTTTTGTGTATAATGCAATAGTGATATATGTTTGTTTTTTTTATCACCTAATTCCAAAAGAATGGTATGAACATAATTCAGACGTTTCTTTTTAAATGCTGTCTGTCATACATGTCCAAGGTGAGACCTAAATAAAGTATCTGTCTGTCTGTCTGTCATACAACTTGAGCTGACCTAGTGGGTTTTGAACATGTATGAAACTTACCAGACTGCCAATAGTTTCAGATCCTAGTAATAATTTCATTGTCAATCCCAATGAGTGAGTGAGTGAGTGAGTGAGTTGGGTTTAAAGCCGCTTTTAACAGTATTCAAGTTATATCACGGCATGTCAGCTTAATGTGGGAGGAAAGCCCGAAGTGATGCAGGTCTTAGACGTTAACCACTTCGGTGAAACCCACAAGCATGGGTATGGTGCCGACAAACCTAGAAACATAATCGGGGCGAACCGGGATTTGAACCCACAATCATAGGTTTAGAGTGTCCCAAGGGGACGCAACTCTGCACAGCGAATCGTGGCGCCTTAGACGACTGGGCCTCCCGTGCCCCCCAATCCCAATGAACATACCCCCCTCACAAACAATGTAATAACAAGGTGTTATTTCAAATGGTTTTATTTCAGGCAGGTGTTAACAGAAAATACAGCACAAGTATTGACGCCTAGAACAGTTTCATAATCAGTCACTGCTATCATGACATACTCTGTTAAAATGCTCATAGGTAACTTGTACAATGGCTGATAAAACATTTAACAGAAACTACCATCGTAAGTCAAACAGGGAGACAGTTGTTTACACAAAACCTTAAAATGAAACCTGCAGAGGTGCCAGCCTACTGAACCAAACAATGAGGGATCATGAATATTTTGGGGGATAAAAAGATTTAATAAAAATCTACAAAAATATTCAGGATCCTTAACGTTTTTGTTCAGTATAATATGCACATGTGTTTTGTTTTAAGGAGTTGGGGTACAATGTTAATTTAAAAGCACCACCTTAATATACATACACTCTTTGAGATTAAAGTAACAAGCAATAGCTATCTGTATGCTCTATAGTCATTCAAATTATCACCCGGACGTTAAAACTTCTGTAACATTATTTATTTAATGTTAATATTTGTTTGTTTTTACACATGGATGACCTGTAATTAGAGACATATCAAATCTTAGATCTTTAGTGATGATGTCTACACAATCCAGTCTCATGTGCTTGTATAATAAAAATGAAATAAATGTGACAACATTTGGTAAAGACAATTTTTTTACTAATCTTCCCATTTTGTAATGCCATGCAATGTGGGGACAAAAAATAGTTGTTGCCCTTAATGGCCCTACTAAGGAAGCCCAACTACAGACGTTTATTTTGTTTGAGCAACAGGTTTCTTTTTGACAGAAGTACTTGAAATGTGTTCGAGTAACCCACCCTTGCCATTATAGGAACATCTTCATTTGTAAAAAATATGTAAAACAAAACAAAAACTGATCTTACATGAAAAAGTCATTACAAAAATTCAAACTGCAATCATATTACCAAGCAGGAAATGATAAAATGTATTTTTTTAACTTTCATCATGTTTATTACAGAAAAAAGTACAAAACAGATTTGCATGTATCAGATGTTATATAGTCCCCCATGAAATCATACTGACAAGATAAGGCTGGAATATTGCTAAATGTGGCATGAAAACTTTATTCCACTCATTGATGACCCATGCTTGTCGTAAAAGGTGATTATGCTTGTCGTAAAAGGCGACTATGCTTGTTGTAAAAGGCGACTAACGGGATCGGCTGGTCAGGCTCGCTGACTTGGTTGATGCATGTCATCGATCCCAATTGCGTGGATCGATGGTCATGATATTAATCACTGCTTGTCGTAAAAGGCGACTATGCTTGTTGTAAAAGGCGACTAACGGGATCGGGTGGTCAGGCTCGCTGACTTGGTTGATGCATGTCATCAATCCCAATTGCGTGGATCGATGGTCATGATATCAATCACTGGATTGTCTGGTCCAGACTCGATTATTTACAGACTGTCGTCATATAGCTGGAATATTGCTGAGTGCAGCGTTAAACAACAAACCAACCAACCAACCAACCAACCACTCACTGCTGAAGTCAAAATGACATGAAGCAAGCTAAACAGTCCTTCATCTAAATCCACCTGTGCATTTACCTGTGAATGTGAGAACCCCCTCCCTCTTCAGTCACGCTACAAACAAGTCTGTCTGAACGGTGAACTGGACACACCAGGAAACACTCACCCAAGAGGATCAGGGACAGTAGCACTCAATGGGAGTTACATTTATGCTTGAATTTGATTGGTTGGTGCTTGATTTGCAGCTTTTTGATTGGTTCATTTACCCTGACAGGCAGTATCTGAACTCTAGTTTCATCCCAATTACGATTCTGACACAAATATTGTGAGTGCCACAATTGATGTCGACATGTGAAAATCACATGTCTGTAACTTCTCGGTGTTTTTATTGTTATGAATTTGTGCACTTTCCAATTTATAATTGGTCAAATGCACTTGACCTTGATAGATCTTATTGGTACCCAGATCACTAGATCAGTGTGCACTTGATTTTCATTCTCAGCTCCCTTGGGAGTATACCCCCAAGCAGCCTTGGGCACTAGAAAGTTAACAGTCACATTTCCATCTCCTCCTACCGGGTACCCATTTTAGTGATCATTAATGTCTAAGTTGTGCACACACGCGCACACACGCGCACACACACACACACACTGCCACCTCCCCTCTTTTATTAAAAAATACCTTGTTAACTTTGTGACAAGTAGCATAAAACTGGCATTTTGTGAAATTTCTGAAAAAGTATGTTGGCACTCATCAAAATAGATGGCATAGATGAGGGGACATATATATATATATATATATATATATATACCATAGTACATGTTGGAATGGGTTTCACACAATGTAACAATAGTATCATAGAACAAAGGTGCAAAGCTCAACAACATTTACGCTGAACATTTGTTAGTGACACCCCCATCCTCAACTGGGCCACTATTTTGAGACAGCTGATATATATTGGATAAATTCATAGTTTAAAAAAATGACACACGCCAAAAATTTGAAATAAAACAAAAATAATGCCAGTTTGATTACTCCGTGGTCTGTACAAGGTGCTCTGCTTGAACTATGTTTATTTTAAAGGCAATCAGGTGATGGCAATTTCTTTATATACAAAACACAATCAACTGACATAGGAGAAAAAATTGCATATTTAGTATTATTTGTTTACCTATAGATTTTTCTAGCAAGAAAAGAAAGCAAGCTTGGGAGATGTATAGGAACTGCTGGACTTGGTATATGCAGTGTATTTGATGCTTCCTGAATCCCCATAGCACTCCTCTTCCCTAGGCAAGAGTGTCTACTGGCCTATATCAAAGTCTAGTTTTCACCCTTGCCCTTTCTTGGTATATCTGTCAGGTATGAAATCTCAAATCCTGTCATTATCTGATCGACCAGGGTTTTTTTTATGGTAGTCGCCATCTTGTGTTCAAACTGTGATTGGGGTGGGGCCACAATCAAGCCCCATAAAGTAGGCTTGACAGGGAAAATATAGTTTAGCAGACACCCTTGGCTCGAGAGACGCATAGAACTAATACAGCAAGACTATGTACACATTGATTAATGAACAAACAATACAAAAGGTCAACAGCAAATCATTTCATTCAATAAATCTAACTTAATAAAATGTTCTTGTTATAACATACATGACTAAATCTCCAATCTGTGCTATATACACAAATATCAGCCATTTCAGTTCTTTCCATCTGGCAAAACTGAATAGAAAAAAAACAAATACACAAATATATATCTACAAAAACAAACATATAAAAAATGTACAATTGACTAACACACAAAAATTCTTTTACCAGTGAAACGATGAAATTTGCCCAAAGGAAATACATAGTGAAAAACTGTACTTGGTAATACAAAGTCTTAAGCAGTAAACTTCTATCATCAACAATACTATATTCCTATGTCCTCTTATTTTTCCCCATGAGCATATCTTTCTTGGAGAAGTGTTAAATTAGGCCAGATTACTTTTTAAGTACCGGTAGTTGGTCTTTAGTATATTAAAGTTAATCAATATACCGTATTCGACATAATAAGCGCCCAGGATGCTCTAAAAATTAGAAATAGGGGGCTCTTATAAGAATATTATTTTGGTGAAAAACGAAAAGATCGTAAATTTTGTGGTTTATGCTGACAGCCTGAAATGTTATATGACAGATATATTTTTCCAGAATTTAATTTCCCATAATTAAGGATGCATATAACACACGTATTATGCACGAATAAATAAGTCTTGTGTACATTGATCAATTGGAAGGGGTGCTGATGGGATTGTTCACTAGCCAATACATTAGTAAATATCGCCGTGGCGCTTATTACGTCAAATACGGTAAGTCTAAGCTCAAAAACATTTTTCAGTTTATACATGACAATATATCCTAGTCTGCATGAGAAATGAATTATCAGTTTTTAGTATCAAGTGGATATCATCCATTCCACATTCACAAAACAATAACACATCAATAGAGATCTAATCTTCAACTGGGATTAAACCATTAAAACAAAGTTATATTTTAATCCTTCTCCATAGTCGATATAATCAATTATGAAGGATAGAACTCAAAATCATTTTTCAAAATTATTTACAATCACAAAATAACAAAAAAATTAAAATCTGACATAAATGTGGAAAATAGTATTCAATTAACTTTTTAAGTTAGCATGAATAAAATTAACATGGGAAAAACCATCATAAAAAGCAAACTCAACACCACCAATATGTACAGTGTGACTAGTAGGGCTGACTAATGGAGATATTATGACTATTGCAATATATATCGTCAGTTAGTATCAAGAAACTATTGCAATACTGGACTAACACTTCGTCTCAGAACATATAGATATAATGTTGAAAGAACAAAACAACTTGACTTAAACTGAAAAGGAGCTCCAGTGAGATGGGAGATATAGAGCTGAACCTGTGGAAAATCTAGACTTGCTTCAGTTAGAATTACAGCATTAACGTAAGGGCTGTGGAAGGGAAAATGATATGGTTCAGAGACTGTAAGACTGACTATTGCAATACCTCTGCCTTCCCATAAATAGACATCCTGGCAGTATTCGACATGATGCTATGTCAACCACTGCCAAGGTTTCTATATTGCCTAGGTTTCTATATTGCAAGGTAAGTTGTTGAGACCAGGAACAGATCATTTATAACAGAGTGGGTGGTCAAAGTGGATCAGGGAGGGTCACCAGAAATATGACAGTCTCTAGGGGAGGGTCATTAAAAATAAGACACATTTTTGTGGAGGATCAAGAAGAAATGGTCATTTTTTTTATAAAAGATAAAGCACTTTTGTATTTTGTCTTTTCAGGGTGGGTCGCAAAGAGAATGTACAAGGACACGGGAAGGGGAAACAAAACTATAACAAGCATTATGGGAGGGTCATTATTTTCAGTACATTACCGCATCAAAACCCTCTGACCACCCACGTGTAGAAAAGGGCCGGTCACTTATTTGACAAGAATTGTTTGACATCCTCTATTTTGTTCCAGTTTATGTTCATGCATGCATCCAATAACAAAACAACATTTTAAAACAGTTTATGTTTGAAACCTCTGATGAGCTGAAGGAATCTGTGATGTCTGTGTCCCCTGCATGTACAACAGTGTTCCGGGATGGGGCGATAGTGTTCCGGGGGTGGGCTACCTACAGTGTTTCAGGGGTGGGCAACAGTGTTCCGGGATGGGGCGACAGTGTTCCGGGGGTGGGCTACCTACAGTGTTTCAGGGGTGGGCAACAGTGTTCTAGGATGGGGTACAGTGTTCCGGGGATGGAGCTACAGTGTTCCGGGGGTGGGGCTACAGTGTTCAGGGATGGGGCTACAGTGTTCCGGGGGTGGGCTACCTACAGTGTTTCAGGGGTGGGCGACAGTGTTCTGGGATGGAGAGACAGTGTTCTGGGGGTGGGGCAATAGTGTTCCGGGATGGGGCTACAGTGTTCCGGGGGTGGAGCTACAGTGTTCTGTGGGTGGAGCTACAGTGTTCCGGGGGTGGAGCTACAGTGTTCCGGGGGCGGTGCGACAGTTTTCAGGGGCTGGAGCTACAGTGTTCTGTGGCTGGAGCCTCAGTGTTGCGGGGATGGGGCGACAGTGTTCAGGGATGGGGAGACAGTGTTCCGGGGATGGGTCGACAGTGTTGCGGGGGTGGGGCTACAGTGTTGTGGGGTGGGGTGTGGGAGTGGGAGCCACATTCTAGTGACTCCTACACAGGTTGTGCCAGAAGTCTGGTCATGTTGTCAGTCCTAGTCTAATGTTTGGAACGGTGTAATTCTACAGATCATCCTGGAATTTCATGTGGTTTTAGTGTCGTTTTCTAGTTTTGCTATTCATAGTACTCTGATCGGTTCCGACACAAACACACTGCAAATATTATTCCCAGGACCTAAAAAAAAAAGAAGACAAAATTACACTTTCATCATTTTAACAGTTTGTTGATGAAGGATTGGCCACTCAGCTGTCACAAAATACATTATATCATGACACATGCAGTGTGAGTTTAGATTTGGATAAACCAGGGCTGGTGTTCAAAAAGATTCTCAGATTTTTCTTAAGCCTTAAGAACTCTTAAATCCACAATAAATCTTAGTTTCCCTAACGACCAACTTACATTTTAAGTTATCTATTAATTCATATACACATAGGTTCTTGGTGCTTTGTCCTTTGCTTAAGTTTAAGATACCTTATAAGCATAATTCCTTATGAATTTTATTAAGACATTAAATATGGCTGCTATAGATAATCTAAAACCACCACTAGACGTGAAAGTCATGTTTCCTTGCTATTTAAAGATAGGGGATATCCAAAACATTGCTTGATAGGAGTTAAGAAGATTTTTAGTCAAAATTGTATACCACAAGATGCAATGGGTTCCCATTTAGTTATACTAAGGAAAATTGTAAATATTACACTAATACTTTGCTAATAATAATGATTTGATTCTATGTGAATTGACACTTAAGATTTTTATCAGCTAAGAATTTTTTAAGAAAAACGAAGTCAATATCCATCAAAATTCTTAGAATCTTTGTTAATACAGCCCCAGTGGTTGACTATGCATATATTCAAGTCACTGGTGCAGTTGGGATTCGATGACATGCGTCAACCAAGTCAGCAAGCCTGACCACCTGATCCCGTTAGTCATTACAACACCCAACAATTTCTAAATTATGATTTTTCGTAAATTGGTAAAACTTGACCTCACTTATTATGCTGCACCAGCTCGACAGCATTGCTCATAACATAAACTGTTGTGTTTGAAAATCATATATTTGAGTTTTTACAAAAATAATCAACAGTATCAGTATCACAGTGGCTTAAAATTACTTAGACAACTGTTAACCTAGCAATGGTTGAAGAGTTACTTCCCCTTCCCTATCTGTTCTCAAGATTGTTGTGAAACATTAGTTTCTGTGACAGTTCTGAGAGCCACATAATTATGTTTTGTGCAGTTACAAGCGATCCTGAGAGCCAAATAATTATGTTTTGTGCAATTACAAGATATCCTGAGAGCCACATAATTATGTTTTGTGCAGTTACAAGATATCCCGAGAGCCACATAATTATGTTTTGTGCATTTACAAGTGATCCTGAGTGCCAAATAATTATGTTTTGTGCAGTTAAAGGATATCCTGAGAACCACATAAATGTTTTGTGCCTTTACAAGCGATCCTGAGAGCCACATAATTATGTTTTGTGCAGTTACAAGATATCCTGAGAGCCACATAATTATGTTTTGTGCATTTACTGTGATCCTGAGAGCCACATAATTATGTTTTGTGCAGTAACAAGATATCCTGAGAGCCAAATAATTATGTTTTGTGCAGTTATTGTGATCCTGAGAGCCACATAATTATGTTTTGTGCAGTTACAAGCCATCCTGAGAGCCACATAATTATGTTTTGTGCATTTACTGCGATCCTGAGAGCCATATAATTATGTTTTGTGCATTTACTGCGATCCTGAGAGCCATATAATTATGTTTTGTGCATTTACTGCGATCCTGAGAACCACATAATTATGTTTTGTGCAGCTACAAGTGTTCCATTGTATCACTGCACCGATGATAGTTGTGGAACATACAGCTTGCATTCCAAGTAAACCTGATTATTACCTGTATCAATGCGATTCCAATTCCAACACATATGAGAATGATGCTTTGACCGCCAATCCAATCACGGATAGCTGGAAAACAGCCCTGAAAACAAGGAAGTACCATATCACACCACTGGGAGTACAACTTGTATCAGCAAGTCATGATGCTTCATAAAAGAGGGTTGTGCACCCACCATTGGGGGCCCCAAAGTCATACTTAACATTTATATATTGTAAGTTTTATTCAGACACATTTTGCAAAAACTAGCACAACTACCAAACACAATGAATACACAATGTCATTCAGAAAGTGGTCAAATGTAACAAAATGTAAATTTGGGATAACACCTTTTAGTAAAGAACAAATTCTAGTACTTTTAGGGTTGAGTCCCATCCAGGATTCAGTCAGTGATCTCACCCACTCAGACACTGGGGCTTCCACAAAAATGAAAGTCAGACAACTGGTAGTCTAGATCACGTACTTTGTGTACCCTTCTCACAAGTCTAAATGTATACTAAGCACAATATTTCAAGAACTTTTTGCATTTATATATATGTAGCACTTAAATGTTAAACGCAGTATCACAAAAAACACCACTCTTTTCGAAAAAACTTATCTGTGCTTGTACCATGTCATGTTTAATCCACTAAAACCAATACATAATGATAGAACATCTTCCAGGTGTCTGTGAGATTACTACTACCCATTTCTGGTGTTTCCCGCCTTGATATTGCTGGAATATTGCTAAAAACAGCGTAAAACGATACTCACTCACTCCTAATATCCAAGAAAACAATCTTTCCAGGTAAAAGTTCAAACAAATATGTCTCTTGATTCATTTATATTGAGGGGTCCATGGGCGGATACAGCTTTTTTTTAAAGGGGGGGTGCACAATTAAGATCTATTTATTGTCTTTGGTGGTAATTTATACAGAAATAAAGATTTTTTTCGAAATAAAAAGTGGGCTGCGCACCACCGCACCCCCCCTCTGTATCCGCCCATGGGGTCACTCATATGGGTCTTCAATGCCTCTTCAATCTTGAGTGTAGATCTATACCAAACTCTCTCAGCAGATTCATGTTGCAATTAGCCTTGTGAGTATTGACTGACTGACCGACTGACTGATTGTTAATTTCCAGCTCATGAGTGAGTAAAATACTGAGCTTAGCTGTCGATTAGTGAGTGAGTGAGTTGGGTTTAACGCCACTTTTAACAGTAATCCAGTTATATTGCCTTGTGTCAGCTTAATGTGGTGGGAAAGCCCAAAGTGATGCAGGTCTCAGATGTTACCATTTCGGTGAAACCCACGAGCACAGGTATGGTGCTGACAGACCTAGAAACATAATCTGGGTGACTCGGGATTCGAACACACAATCATAGGTTTCTGGCATGCCCAAGGGACGCAACTCTGCACAGCGAATAGCAGCGCCTTAGACGACTGTGCCACCCGTGCCCCCTAACTGGCGATAAGGACCTTTGAGATGGTGCGTCATTTCCGTAACTTAAGGGGCCAATGGATTCATGGTATTTATCATAATATCATGAAGATGTGATACACAGGTAATCAAGGATGATGACACATGTCAATCAACGCACCCTCTGCTGCAGCTGTGTCCTGTCCTCTGGTTGGATGGGGCTGCCAGGCTCCGCCTCTTCCCGACAAATAGTCGCGTTAGCTGGCCTGTGAGACTTGACATCCTTCCCCTTTCCACGGCAGCATGTGTCCGGCACATACCGCTGAAGGAAACAACACATGACAAGTATTGTCGCAAAGTCTGACCAGTAACACTGTTCAAAGTACCAGCCTTCCTGACAGTCATGGACTGCAACTTAAAACATGCAGTTCCGAAGGTCTGGTTGATTATTTTGTAGATTTAGTAAGCAAAATAAAGGAGAGGAGCTTATATGGTGAACGGCTATAAGACAACGACCCGATTGTAAAATATTGCAGACGTCTTGCAATATATCAGCGATGCATGATCTCAAATATTCTCATCTGTAGTTATTTTCTTTATTGTCCAGTCCAAACAAAAGAAATCAGGACCGGCAACTAAGTTGATTGACAATTTATAAGGCTAGCCAGTCCAGCTGTTCGGGTGGAATTTATCTGAATTTTTAACACTGCCAGTAATAGACTACTTAACAGCTTAAGAACAAACCACACGAGGGTATAATGTCATTCTTAAAACAATCCATGATTAAGATATATTTTCACTCAATGGTGTCTTTTTAGAAAGCCATATGAATAGAATGTTTGAGTACACCACCCAATTTAGTATATAGTTTATCAGATCGGATTATTATATCAATACCACTGTCCATTATATGATAAATAATTTATTTCTTGAAATTATACAGAAATTGACAAGAGGAAGTACCTTTGGTGGCATCTGATTCAACACCCACTCGCTGTTCCTATAGTCTGTGTAGTTGTCAGCTCCGCAGCAGTTGAACTGAAACAGTCGGACACTATAAGTTGCAGCAGGATCACGAGGGGTACATGGGGATTTATGTGTCGCCAGAGGCGAGTGGTATAAAACTTAACGAGGGACACACAAAAACCCCATGTGCCCCAAGTGATCATGCTACAATGAATTTATCCAGAGACTATATATCGGAATATGGTCTCTGAATTATCTTACTGACATGTTTAAATATGACATTGTAAAAGAACTAAAACAAATTCAATATTGGTAGAAAACAGCTGTTCAATTGAGCTGAGGTTTACTTTTGCTATGTCACGTGACTTTCATTGAAAACCGTGCAGCTTTTTGTTTCAATGGGGGATTTATTCTGCCTCTCAGAAATCCACATGCAGCCTGACTTGCTCGTGGTGGGGTATAAGGGATTTATTCTCCCACTGAGAAATTATTTCCCTCCAAGGCTGGAGATATAGTATTGTATCAAGATCACGTGGACCAACATTCAACATTCTGACTTGGAGGTATGATAACAGCTTATATACAGGTTACTTATGTTATTTTATTAAGTTTGTCATACAGTCATCCCTCGCAATAATGCCCTTCACGATACCGCAGATTCCGTTAAAACACAGGGTTTTCAATGGCTCCTATAAATGATAAAATTGTCCCCATGAACACACATCTTCATGTCATTGCAAATAGTATATCAACAAATCTGTACTGAATAACACAAGTTAACCATACACAAGGATCATCTTGTGTAGTTTAGTGCGGATGGTAATAAAAAGTCTTCATTGTAGATACCTAGACTTGGGACTTGGGTTTGTGAACTGTTTGATTAAATGAGTATGAGTATGTGTAAATCAGAAATATTTTTCTTGCGAGAAACTCAGGGAATATATACCCTACGACCACCATTATTCTGTTCCTTGATTCGTTTTCAAAAGATGATGACATTCGTAATTCAGTCAGTTAGATTAACACTTAGAATATGAAAACATTTCTTTAAAATAATTGTAATTTATTTTTCAAAAGAACCCTTTCTTTTCTGCTGTTTTCACTATTCTTTATATACTCCAGTCATAGTGCAGGACTATCAGTCAGTTAGACTAACATCTAGTCTCTGAATTGAACATATTTTACAGAAAAAACAGTAGTTAAATTATAGTTATAAAATATAATAAAAAGGAGCCCAGAGACTTTCTCCATTTTCATACTGAAGTAATCTTGACTTGCCAAACATTACAGACTTGCATGGGCTGTATTGGATATATTTGGTTCAGGGTCTGCATGACAGACTATCAGTCAGTGTAGAGATGAGCGGCTGTGTTGACTACTTGTTGTAATGAAGGGTGACAGGTGCAGGTACACCACAGTGTCCACCTAAGCTATGTGATGTGATGTGAGTGATAAGGCTGGCTGTCATATTACCGTATTCGACATAATAAACGCTCCGCTCTAATAAGCGCCCACGGCAATATTTGCTAATATATTGGCTAGAGAACAATCCCAATTAGCACCCCTTCCGACTGATCAATGAACACTTATTTATTCGTGTATAATATGCACTCGTGTAATACACACAGACTTTTCTTTTGTATCTTTTCAGGCTGTCAGCATAAATCACAAAATTTACGATCTTTCATCTCTGGGTTTTTTTCTCACCAAACTTATATTCTAATAAGCGCCCCCTTTTTCTAATTTTGAGAGCGCCCTGGGCACTTATTACGTCGAATACGGTACCTGATTTGGCCAGAATCTCAATGCTTGGCCTTGGAGTAGGAATGTGGGCTCCTGATAACTTATGAGTAAAAACTCAATGGCTCAAGAAATTATTATTCACATAGGGTATTGACAGTTTTCTTCAGGTATTCAATATATTTTAACTCTCTTGGGTCCAGTCTATTGGGTATTTTTAGACCAATGAGTACACATTTAAAAAAAAAAATTCTACTTAAAATTCTGGTTTAGGTGACTTCCAATTTGTACCTTTGTGTGTGCTGCCAAGTGCTGCATAACAGTGATATACATGTCTTATTAACAATAAGTGAGATGTAGAGCCCTTTTTATGCATTACTCACTGCAGTAGAGTTCATGTATGTGTGATGTCTGCATTCCAACAGAAAATGAATATATTTATTACCTACGAGGGCAAACATATCAGGGTTCATAAAAATCGTATGCGCCCTAGGGTCATATCACAGCGTATTGTTTCCATCATCCGGATGGCATTGTAGACGTCATTCCAATCTTATTTTGATGTGAGGTCGGAATCACATCACACGATGTCCTAGCCGAAGATTGTCGACGTCATTTGTCAAATTGTGGTTCCGCTGCTGTTGCGACTTGTTGTCCATATAGATGAACACTTAAATTTGTCTCTGTGTGTAGACATCTTCTCTGGTAATGAATTGAACATTATATTCATGTTCATGTGATACCATGTTTATGAAACTCATGCCTAAATTCTGGTAATTCTGAATTTAGACACTCGTGTCATAAACTTAGTATGAACACGAATATAATATCCTCTATGTAGAATATAATATCCTCTATGTACACAAGTTGAAAAGGATACTTTGGGTTATGAGGCAGAGTGTTGTTAAGCCATTAGAATTCATAAATTGTTCATGCATACTTGTACCATTAATTGGGCAATGGTGATTTATGTTGTGTTTTCCAGTCCGAGTAACACTCACCTCAATTTGTAGGAAGTCAATGGTAGAGTTGCCTGCCCCTGTGTAGTTCTTCACTGTGTCTATCAGCACCCCATGACCTTCACTTTCCAACTGAAATATGTGAAACATGACATGCGAAACACATCGACTTGTGAAACAAGCAAAGCATCATGATACATGAATTACATGATTATGATTAGTATTAACCTAACTGAGTCTGCTCTAAGCCTGTGGTTGATAGTTTGTTTGTTTGTTGTTTAACACCGCACCCAGCAGTATTCCAGCTATATGACAGCTTAGTTTAACGTAGCTGGCTCAGACTGGTACATTGCTCAAACAGATGCGGTAAACAATAAATTTGAACAATTTCTAAAAAATAATATCAATGTCACTCCCAGTTTGCTGTAATCTCAATCTACATTAATAACGTAGAATTAAAACCAACTATGATCCTGATCAACCCCCGCATTCTACGTTCAATACGTTCTTGAACAATATGCCTCTCAGCCAAAATTTGAAAACATAAAAAACTGCCTAGCAAGGACCACTACCTCTTGTAAGGCCATCATGGCCATCCTCTCAATGTAAAATGGGGTCATAGTCATACTGATAATTTGTTGTCCCGAAACATTGAGCTAAAACCTTCAGTAACTGTCTTGTTACACAACTGACCATGATGCCAGCAATATCTCGAACTACTTGTCTATGTGATGGCGGTCCCACCTCCGCCTCTACGTGATATCTGTGCATATCCACAAATTCTGGCATCATGATATTACTTGAATTTATGTGGGCCCCATTCATGTCAAACCTGTTGTCAGGTTCAAGAACCATCTTCAAGGCCATGAATGCATGTGGTATCACGTGACAAATGTGATACCTATCGCGAGAAAGAAAATATACTTGTATATAAGTTTACAATAATGCATGGTGTTTCAGCTATATCTTGTACATGAACATACATATGCAACAATATAATCATGTTTAGGTAATGTATATGAATGTAAGATCCAACTTTATAATAGTCATCTATGAATTTTAGATACTTGTATGTAGTTGTATTGATATAACTGTAAAGTAGGGTCAAATAGGTATCAAAAGGAATCACAAGCCTCATGGAAGTTGCCATTTATTCATCTAAAAATAGGGGTGGTTGGGTAGCCGAGTGGTTAAAGCGTTCGCTTGTCACGCCAAAGACCCAGGTTCGATTCCCGACATGGGTACAATGTGTGAAGCCCATTTCTGGTGTCCCCCGCCGTGATATTGCTGGAATATTGCTAAAAGCGGCGTAAAACCAAACTCACTCACTCACTCACTCATCTAAAAATAGGATTTACAAAAACTTGGAATCAACAGGAATCAGGTAATCATGAAACGGAATCGGGATCAAGGCGCTTTCACACAATAATTGACATATGACCAACGCCATTATGCTTTTATTTTGGCACAACCGTACCCAATCTTTGAAATTTGCACAACCCACTGTGCTAGCTGATCCTCTTCATCGTTTTGATATTCCATTGGCACTTTTTGTTTTATTTTATTACAGAGTGTAGCTTGGGGAATAACGTAAGATACATTAGCTTTTCTTGCGGACATTCCGCGAGCGTTGACTGCTTCAACTACCGTTTTTAGATTTCAAGGTCAAACAAAGGTTTACACTCATGTTGGTTCACTTCCTACATGTTATTGTAAAACATGTCAGTAGATCTAAATAAATAGAATAGATTTTACAGATATTACAAAAAATCCGAAAAACTAAAATGCAATAATAGATAATTACACTAGAACATTTTTTAAGAAAATCTACCTTAATATAGGAATAGGTTGTACATAGACATCTAAATAGAATTATTTGTTATCATAATGAATATTTCATTTCCATCTTATTTTAATAATGATGCTTTAAGTTATATTAACTTAAATATTGCTATGAACAATAAAAAAAAGTCTGATATGTTGAAATGTGAAGATATTTTTTTGTTTATCTAAAAAAAAAAGGTCTGAGTACTACCTTACCACTTTTTACATCAAGGTAGTATTCGGACATCGCTTTAATAGTACGACCCATAGTCTTTCATGGAATGCCGTGACATTCACTTAAAGTTCTATCGTACATCAAAGTTCATTTAAAATGAGTCATGCAGAAAACACTAGCTTAAACCAGAAACAACATTGCTTAGCAATAATGTAAGACAATGTAGGGGCGTGGCAATCACGTTGAAAAGGTGATCCTGGACGGTTTGTTTAGATAGTTATCTCTAGCAGACGAATTTTTAAATGGCATTGGTGGAAAGAGCTTGCCTGTTAATTTTGGATATTACCAGTTTGCTTTATTAGCTATAAATAAATGTTTGGTGAGTGTTCAGCTACCACCGCTGTCCGGGTACTACTGCCACTACATATTCATTAGCCAACATAGTTGAGTAAAAAATTTGGCTCAAGCCTGAAACATAGGGCAATGATTATATTTATGCCCAAAATCCAAGATGGCTGCCAATATCAATGACAATATCTGTTAGAGCAAGAATGCAAGACACAGCATCCATACTTACATATCCCTTCTCAACCGCCACGTAGATGCCTGCTCCCAGCTCACCACACATCACTACCGCCATACAGAAGATGTACTGCAACAACAATGTCCACCTTAGCACAATGAATCATGGGAAGGGTTCTCAGTCAGTTCAAAGAGAAGTGCTTGAGTTAGTGAGAAGGCGATTAACCAAATTCCAGCAATATAACATCCAGTGATATCCTGATTCAGTCTCACCCATAATAACGAGCAATATTAAAATTATTCTACTCAAAAGAAGTTAAAGAGCACTTGATTTTGTCAATGAGTATTGTTAATCTTTCATGACTTGACAATAATAAAATTGAGTGCTCTTTTAACTTCTTTTGAATAGTATATAGGACAGCATGTCATCTCAATATGGGGTCCAAAGTTCAGTTTTTCCTAAATGTTTACCACTTTGGTGAATCCCATGCTTACTGATCACAAAACTGAAACTGGGACCCTTAACCTAGGACTACACATCCTAGCAGAGCCAAGGGACACAACTCTGCATTGACCGTTGTGGCACCTTTTATAATACCTTCATGTGGCTACCATGCCCCATACAAAAGAAAAAGCCTGATAAAAGTTTGATGTTTTGTTAATTTGTTGTTTAACGCCACACATGGCAATATTCAAGTCTGGATCAGACAAAACAGTGGTTGATATCACGCAACCAACCAAGTCACTGAGTCTGACCACCTGATCCATATTGCCAGCTTGACAAGCATGTGTTGCTGGGGACCAATTCTAACCAAGAATACCCTCAGGTTAGCAACAAACTGTAGGTGCCTACTAGATTTGAATAATGGCGTAATAATCTGCTGGAGCCCCATGACGGTGCCTGGGTTTTGAATTAGTCAATAATCAGATCTTAATCAGTTATGTTAGCACTTTTGTTCAGACTTATAAATATCAATTTGACTGCAAGTCATCCCTGAGCTCACTGAGCAGTTATTATCAGTAGTCTTGGTTCCATTTCAAGAAGCAATCTTAGTGCAATAATGGTGTAATAACCATACTCCAGCATAGACTTGTGACTTGTGACTGTCGTAGAGCCACGATGATCCTAACTTCCACACTCATAACATGGACTTATGACAGTTATAGAGCTATGTAACTCACACACTCTAACATAGACTTACAACAGTCATCGCGCCACAATGATCGTAACTCACACACTCTAACATAGACTTATAACAGTAGTAGCGCTACGATGATCGTAACTCACACACTCTAACATAGACTTACAACAGTCATCGCGCCACAATGATCGTAACTCACACACTCTAACATAGACTTATAACAGTAGTAGCGCTACGATGATCGTAACTCACACACTCTAACATAGACTTACAACAGTCATCGCGCCACGATGATCGTAACTCACACACTCTAACATAGACTTACATCAGTAGTAGCGCTACGATGATCGTAACTCACACACTCTAACATAGACTTACAACAGTAGTAGTGCTACGATGATCGTAACTCACACTCTAACATAGACTTACAACAGTCATCGCGCCACGATGATCGTAACTCACACACTCTAACATAGACTTACAACAGTAGTATCGCTACGATGATCGTAACTCACACACTCTATCATAGACTTACAACAGTAGTAGCGCTACAATGATCGTAACTCACACACTCTAACATGGACTTACAACAGTAGTAGCGCTACAATGATCATAACCCACACACTCTAACATGGACTTACAACAGTAGTAGCGCTACGATGATCGTAACTCACACACTCTAACATGGACTTACAACAGTAGTAGCGCTACAATGATCATAACTCACACAATCTAAAATAGAATTACAACAGTAGTAGTGCTATGATGAGCGTAACTCCCACACTCTAACACAGATTTAAAACAGATGTAGTGCTACAATGACGATCATAAGTCCAACACTTTAACAAATGTATCTCTAAAACTGCCTTGTGAAACAGGCCGTTGATCAGTACAGTGAGGGGGGTCAGATACATGTAATAATGATTTTTTCTCAAAACAAGTAACTAAACCGTTTGATAAACTTACAATTCCCAACATGAATGCGCTTTCCCGCACAGCACCACAGCAGCCACAGAATCCCACGAAGAACACAAACGCTCCCACGGCTATCATAATATAGGCTGCCGTGTACAGGAATCCTACGGGCAGACCGATATCAATGGATTTGAGGAACTTATCCACTTCATCTGACACCAACACAAATATTCCTGTTCCAAGGATAGCACCTCCAGAGATCTGCAACACACAAATCAGACATTGACATCATCCTGCTGTATCTGCCGTTACAATGTAAATACAACAGTAAATGTTAGTATGTTTACAATGTGGACAATTCACAGTTTCTATTATCCTACATATACCAGACATTCACCAGTCCAAAAGGCTTCTTTGTTGCTTAACGCCACAATCAGCAATATTCCAGCACTATGGGTCTGAAAATAATCTGGACCAGACAATCCAGTGATTGACATCATGTGCATATATCCATGGAATTGGGATACAATGACATGTACCAACCAAGTCAGCGAGCCTGACCACTTGTTCCATTTAGTCACCTCTTATGACAAGCACATGTTTCCAAAGGCCAATTCTAACCCGGAATCTTCACAGGGCTAATCCAAATCCCACCATGTTGCCACTCTTCATATTAATTTTCCGTAGACCAAGAAGATTGTTAGAGAACTACTACTTCTACAATGGTGACAAATAAAATCACTCAGTTTAATGGTATCAGACATGATAGTGAATGAGTGATTGAGTTACGTTAGTACACAGCAGGTCCCAGATAAACAAATAATCAGTTGTCTCTGGTTTCTTTCTGTCCATTGTAGCCCTGCTCGCAGACAGCAGAGGTAATGCTTGAAACTTATGACTACTTCAAAGGGTGGAATACCATAAAAGTGTTCTGTCATTGGCATTTCGAAGTTGGTAGAACAAGAGTGAAAGAATGTGTTAGGTTTAACACCACTTGAACAGTATTTCAGTTGTATCACAGGGTGTCAGCTTAATGTGGGAGAAAAGCCCAAGTGATGCAGGTCTTAAGACATTTACCACTTTGGTGAAACCTATGAGCACAGGTATGGTGCTGACAAACCTGGAAACATAATCAGGACAAATCTGGGATTCAAACCCAAAATATGATAGAGCCACAGCATTACACATGGCAGGATGTAAAATTAAGTGGAATGAATGGGTCTGAGTGAAGACGATGATACTATAAGCATTGTCTGTATCCTGGCATTGTAAAGGGACATAATTCTGCACAGAGAACTGCAGCAACCTTGACTAATGATTCACTTGTGTCCCAGAACAACCTGGCACAGTAAAGGGACACAACTCTGCAGTGTCAGACACAGCTGTGCCCAAGAAAAACGTTGAATGTATAGGCCTGATCAATGTCCATGTGTCCTGCTTCCTGCACATCCTGAAAACACTGGCACAAAGTGCAGCTGTACACATGCAGCTAGATGGTGCTCTCTGCAGCACAGTGAACATGCACTAAGTCCTCCAGGCATCCTCAGTGGTATCACCCAGTCTATCACATTTCCAGGGTATTACCAGAAATACCCCCAAGACCTAGCTGGATCACTCAAAGTGTAATTTGATTGGAGAGTCATTTTTCAGCCTTATGTCATTCAAATCAGACTGAAAGTGAAGCTATGGTAGCAAATAGGTCCAGGGTATTTATCTCTATGAAAACCTGCGAAGATCCGCCTTTGAACAGGTCTTCGGCAACCCATGCTTGCCGTAAAAGGTGACTATGGTTATCATAAGAGGCGACTATACTTGTTGTAAGATGCAACTAACGGGATCAGGTGAGCAGGCTCACTGACTTGTCATGTCGTCGTTTCCCAATTGCGTAGATCAATGTTCATGATGTCAATCACTGGATTGTCTGGTCCAGACTCGATTATTTACAGACCGCCGTCATATAGCTGGAATATTGCTGAGTGCGGCGTAAAAAAAGAACAAAAAACAACAACAAACAAACACATATAATACTGGAACGGAGATATAATTCATTCACCCATCCATGTATCCAAGACTTGAAGTGTGTTCAGGGTGCCACACAGTGATTACCACTGATTTTGGATCAGTGTGCACTCAAGTTACATTCTCAGCTCCCTGGGAAGTATACAGCCTGCCTTTCAGAGGCTATATGTTTTTGCATTCACATTACCATCTCATCCCACCAGGTACCCAGTTGCTGATGGGTGAACTGAGGCTTATTTGGAACAGTCACCTTTGTCATGGAGATGACACACGTTTCAGTAACTTGTCATTCAGTGGGGGGTAGGACAGAAGAGCTAGAAACTCTCAAGAGTCATGCAAGACCTCTGAGCGTGGTCACCCATCTACCTCCTCTTAGTTCCAAGCCTAACTTAACTTCACCATATTTCTGCACTGTGCACATGATCACATGCCACTTGGAATGCCCAAAGAATTATTCCTGTCCCTTGGGCTGTAGACTGGACTCCTGTCTCTGCTAGATCCTACAGATGACATCCTTACCTTGTCAGCTTGCTGACGGGGTTAACCTCTTAGGTCATGAGGACAAGACATCTGACCTCTGATCAGAAGGTCTGTGGTTCGAATCCCATCAGGGGACTCTGAAATTTAATGGCCACTACATTGGCGCCCAACGTGGGGCTGAGCACGTTCATATTAAATTTGAGCAAAATAAGACTCAGTACAATACTATGCGGCCCAGGACGTGCCTTCTGTTGATGGGGAAGTATGTAGCAGGGCGTGGAGTCATCCCACAGATGACATTCTTACCTTGTCAGCTTGCTGACGGGGTTAACCTCTTTGGTTATATGGACAAGGCGTCCGACTTCTGATCAGAAGGTCTGTGGTTCGAATCCCATCACAGGACTTGGAAATGTGATGGCTGCTACACTAATATAGCGATGATGCTTACCTATTTGCTACCTTGTTGTAAAAAGAAAATGGGAGCCTCGAAGCAGTTTGTTTGTGAAACTAAAATTGCACTTGCAATGATAAAAGCTGAGTCGTTTTTTTTTACAATTGATATCACCCAAAACAAATCGTGTGCATCCACAGTGCTTTGGCTGGGGACACACTTGCATTACTGGACACCAATATGCATGCGCATGTATGATAGGAAACGGTATGGATTTGTACCACATATTGTGGTCGCTGGTTGATTAAAAGTGCCAAGCTTGCAGTGCGACTCAACAGTGGACACAGTTAATCTGGGCTGCTGACTCATCGAAAGACTCTTACCCAGAAGATGAAGTTGAAGATAATGAGCATATATCTGGAGCATGTTGCACAGCCTCCCTCCGCCATCTTGAGATGTTGTGTATACTCGGCTGTAGTCACTCAGGCTGAAACATAAGGAGGACAGGGTCAGGATTACTTCTTGAGATGTTGTGTATCACTCGACTGTAGTCACTCAGACTGAAACATAAGGAGGACAGGGTCAGGATTACTTCTTGAGACGTTGTGTATCACTCGACTGTAGTCACTCAGACTGAAACATAAGGAGGACAGGGTCAGGATTACTTCTTGAGATGTTGTGTATCACTCGACTGTAGTCACTCAGACTGAAACATAAGGAGGACAGGGTCAGGATTACTTCTTGAGACGTTGTGTATCACTCGACTGTAGTCACTCAGACTGAAACATAAGGAGGACAGGGTCAGGATTACTTCTTGAGACGTTGTGTATCACTCGGCTGTAGTCACACAGGCTGAAACATAAGGAGGACAAGGTCAGGATTACTTCTTGAGACGTTGTGTATCACCCGGCTGTAGTCACTCGGGCTGAAACATAAGTAGGACAGGGTCAGGATTACTTCTTGAGATGTTGTGTATCACCTGGGTGAAGTCACTCAGACTGAAACATAAGGAGGACAGGGTCAGGATTACTTCTTGGGACGTTGTGTATCACCCGGCTGTAGTCACTCGGGCTGAAACATAAGTAGGACAGGGTCAGGATTACTTCTTGAGATGTTGTGTATCACTCGGCTGTAGTCACTCAGGCTGAAACATAAGGAGGACAGGGTCAGGATTACTTCTTGAGATGTTGTGTATCACTCGGCTGTAGTCACTCAGGCTGAAACATAAGGAGGACAGGGTCAGGATTACTTCTTGAGACGTTGTGTATCACTCGGCTGTAGTCACTCGTGCCGAAACAATGTATCTTCACCCACGTACATCCAGTGTAATGTCTCCATTTTATTGTGATAAATACCCGGGACCCATTTGCTACAATAGGTTTGTTTTTAGCCTGATTAAAAAAGCACAACATTAAGATACTGCTGTCCAATCAAATTACTCTCTCAAGCAAAAGAAATTCTGTGCTAAGTTAGCAATAGGAGTGATGGATTTGGTGACGTCACTTCAGAAATGAAACTATGGTAGAGCACAGATCTAGGAAATTTATCTTGATAGAATGGAGACAATATACTCTTCATACTTGAGGATAATGTATTACATGCGTTGACTTAAATGAATATTGTACAGAAGTTTCCATATTGGACAGTATACAGTAGGGTTAAGACACTACATGAACAATAATACAATAGGTACTGCAATCATATGCTCACTATACACTATTTGGGAATAACAGCATCATTTTGCGGGTGTTAGGCCTGGCTGGTTCAGTCTTTTGAACAGATTTCCTTGGTCAGTATGAACATGGACCCTAAATATAGATCGTATTAAGTGTCCATGCTATGAAGTAGCAAGAGGCAAAGTATAATCTAATCAGTTGCAGATTGTTGATCTGAGGATAATCTCTTTGAATAAAAAACTTACCAAAACTACAAACAAACAAAAAATTTTTTCTGGAAAACACTTCACTTCACTTTTGTAATACTTAGGGGAGAGTTATTTGTAAAACTATAATTAAATTGGTAAATTGTGACAAGGAATAACAAATGCTGAAGATTTTATTTTTCAATTTGGCAATTTGTTGCGCAGACCGACGCATAAAACAACTGGACTAGATCCAGTTTGTCATTAAATGATGAGCGTGTATATATTGCTCCATGACAAACAGATCTATGTTTAAGCCAGACAACACTTTGGAAGAAGCTACTGAACCAACCACAACAATGATTTCCACAGATATCACATGCCTATATTCTAGTCCAATCGCTTTACACATAGGTCTGAGCTACCAAAAAAAATTTGTACATTTGCCAAATAATCACACTTATCCCAAATGAGTCAATGATTGTATATGTGTGGCATTATATGTTAATAAACTCATGTGTGGATAGTTTTTTCTTTTGTATTTTATGTCATGATTGGTTCCTTTAAATATGTTGTGGGTTTGAAATAGAACCACTGCCTCGCACATGTCTGGTCACAAAACTGAAACCATAAGCTCTGGTTTATCTAGTGAGGTAGAAGGTTTACACTTGTGTTATTGACTTGACAATTACATGATCAGAGTCACTGGCAGAGATCCAGAGAAGGAGTGTGCACATTCATCCTCCTACCTTCTTATTCCTGTTTGTTTGTTGTGTTGTTTAACGCCGCACTCAGCAATATTCCAGCTGTATGACAGTGGTCTGTAAACAATCGAGTGTGGACCAGTGATTGACATCATGAGCATCGATCTACGCAATTGGGATCGATGACATGCATTAACCAAGTCAGCAAGGCTGACCACCCGATCCCGTTAGTCGCCTTTTACGACAAGCATAGTCACCTTTTACGGTAAGCATGGGTTGCTGAAGACCTATTCTAACACGGATCTTCAGACACTTTATGGGTCAACCCGAATCAGTTCTACGTTGTGTTCATCACTTACACAATGTGCACCTCAAATACCTTCAAAATCATAGATCTGCCTCTGAGAATGTTAAACCTACTGGTGTGGAGATAATGGACAGAATTGGCAAACTATAGGTAGCGTTACAGAATGAGTTGCTAAGCCAGTCCTGCCTTAGCACATAGTGTACTCCAAGTCACTAGGGCTGGGACGGGTAACTTGGGTACCCGGGTCGGGTAGGTCCTGAGTAGGATCCAGGTACCCAGAGGACTACCTGGACCCGTGGTTAGTCACGTGATATATTGTTTCATGACAAAAACTCACTATATCTCAGTGGTTACTACAAGTCCCTAATGTTCATATTTCTTTCTGGCGATGCACACATTCCTTTTGACTTGTATATGTTTGAGTAAAGATAAAGCTTCAGTCAGCTTCAGTGAACGCATGATTTGATCGTTTGATAAATGTATCTCAATAGTTTTTGCCAGGGCTGTGTAAAACAATTCCCAATCAGACATCTTGTTCCCAACTTGAGACCTGCAGTGGGTACCCGGGTAGGGTCGGGTAATAGGGGGTCGGATACCCAGGTAGTAAATTTGGACTCGTCCCAGCCCTACAAGTCACTCAAGGTTACCATGTTGCAAAGGCAGACTATTGTAGATGAGATATCCACAATGGCTGGAGTGTTGACAGTACTTTGATGTGTTGCAGTAACAGGACCTCCCTAGCTACACCATGGCATGCATCCCCATCTACACAAACCTCTTGTTTTGTCTGACCGAGACCCATCACTCTGCCCCACACTCACATCACTTACCCCAGATGAAAGCCCAATTTAACTGGTTGGCTGGTTGTTGTTTAACACTTAGCAATATTCCAGCTATATGATGACGGTCTGTAAATAATTGAGTCTGGACCAGTCAATCCAGTGATTGACATCATCAACATCGATCAACGCAATTGGGATACAATGACATGCATCAACCATGTCAGCGAGCCGGACCACCCAATCCCGCTCGTCGCCTCTTACGACAAGATGTAAATAATCAAGTCTGGACCAGACAATCCAGTGATTGACATAATGAACATCGATCAACGCAATTGGAAAACAATGACATGCATCAACCAAGTCAGCGAGTCTGACCACCCGATTCTGTTAGTCGCCGCTTACGACAAGCATAGTCGCCTTTTACCAAACATGGGTTGCTGAAGACCTATTCCAACACGGATCTTCAGGGCCCCAATTTAACTGAACATTGTGTATTATCCATCACCCTACAGAGATTCCAGGTTAGAATAGATCCCTAGCGACCTATGCTGGTTGTAAGAGGCAATCAAATCGATTGGGTGGTCAGGCTCAGTGACTTGTTGGATATAGTGTCTTCATACCCCATGGCGTGGTTCATTTTTCACAGAATCAATCACTCGATTGTCTGGTCCAGACTCAAGTTTTTTGCTGGCCACGCACACATGCACATGCACACAGGTGACTTTTCTCTCTTACAATAGCTGAGCTGTACCTTGGTTTCCCCCCTCACTTGGCTAAAATACACACCACGTTATCTTAGCATGTTCTTCCTGTGTAACACTTACATCATAGAAGTTCTATCTTGCTGAACAGTCTGAAGATACCATGTCTGTCTTGGGTGGACCCTAAACAATCTAGCTGTAATACCCATCACTCCACAGACTGGATATTTCTGTTCAAATTGGCTACTTTTTAACTTGAAGAACATTTCCTTACAGTGTGTGTATAACTTAACGTGGGCCGGCTTTTGTCAAAATAGCCATCGTCATGTGACACTCAAAGCAGAGTAAACACAACCTATTTTAAAACTAGAAACTACAAAAATAACTTTCTCCATGAAAATAAATACATGTGTATTCATAAATCTAATTACGATTTTCTTTGAATGCAGTGAAATAGCTAAGTGGGCAGGGTGTTTGCCAAGAGCAGGAGTAGTCTCAGTTGCCAATGCAAACGGATTCAGTTCATGGATGGTTCAAACTTGTCAAATTCAGTTGTCTCAACTTGTAGGTTAATGGGGGCCTGGTATGTTTCTAACTTGCTGGATCATACATTTATGTACATAGTAAAAATATCCTTCAGCAAAAGTAACAATTGATCTAACAACTGTTGGATCACAAGTGTCCATGGCCCAATGGCAATACATCAAGGTCAAGTCTGATATGAAAAGTAAATATTGATGACATGCTACACTGTCAATATTATCAATGTAATATCATGAAAATGATAAAAACATAAAATCATGTACTTATGTTTGGTAAAAAATAACCTGCTTGAAGATAAATGTGGGTATCCATTAAGAAAAACAATAATCTGTATCGGTATATATTGGGGTGGGAGAGGGGGGAGGCAGAGACCCAGTTCTATTTCTTAAAATAATTTGGGAGGGACTTGTCAATTATCATAGCAGGGGCTGGGGTCATGAAAAAATGTTACATGTGTTTGGGGGAGGGGTCATGAAAAAGTGTTACATGTGTTGGGGGCAAAATAGGATACAGACACATAAAGGAACTTAAGAATATGATCATCCGAAATATGACAACTGTGATTATAGTAACCAACATTCACCTGGTGGGTTCCAAACACTGAAGATAGGTATAAGCACCATATTTTTCCAAGAATACTAATCATATAAAATATTCAGGTTTACTGAAAATGTTTGGGTCCTCCTAAAAGTTGGTCGGCTCTTGAGACCACCTATGTCAGTCCGAGGCAGGTAGGTAACAGAAAGGCGAGGTGAAATTGGGTTTAACGTCGCGTCCAAGATTATTGCACTTATATAGCGACGTGTATGCACGTGTGTGTGTGTGTGTTTGTGGCTGCTTGTACTAGTCCGGACTGATGCCGATTTATAGTGCTAGCTCACTGAGATACCATGCCGCAGTTTAACATGAATACCCCACTCAGACACAGTATACTGACACCGAGCCAACCAGTCCTTATTTTAGCCCCTTAATGCCGAGCACCAGACAGGGTAACAACAAGTACCATCTTTTAACATCTTTTGGTATGATGCGGCCGGGGATCGAACCCCGGACCTTCCGCTGTCCAGGCGGACGCTCTACACAAGACCACTGAGGCGGCAGGTAACAGAAAGGGTGAGTAGGGACAACTGTTGGACCATCCATTGGACACTCTGTCCATTTTACAGAAGAAAATTGTAACGTCTTGAATCAGCAACCAAAACCATATCCTGTCTCTAACAAACATCCCCTCCCTCTCCACAACACACACGAATATCAATGATGCATCCCTAAAAAAATGTTTTGATTGTGCACAAAAATACACCATTGACTCCTTGGCAAGACACACATGACAGAAACACAAACATGACTCCTGTTGTACTTCCAGGAGCCAGCCCGACCTGGTTGCTCAGTGTCTGGCAGCCAGCACCTTCCCCCCACAAAGTAACAGTTAATCCCAAGTAGGCTGAGTAGTGTGTCTATAATTACAACACAATGTCGTCAACAGGTACACTGTGTAAACACACACCATGGCAGTCCCAACCAGCCAGCTTCTGGAGTGGAGTATCACGCTAGCCAAGTGTAATTCAGACCTGCCACACCAAGATCGCCAGATTGCCACCAACACAAACCAGAGACATACACATGTATAGGGAGTTCACAACTGATGCAACTGGTGCTTCATAAGTAACACCCAGAGCATCTGGCCTCTTTCCACCTTCCTATGGCCTTGTAGTATCTCACCTTGCCTCACCTGGCCTGTCCCACCTTCCTGTGGCCTTGTACTATCTCACCTGGCCCCACCTGGCCCCACCTGGCCTGTCCCACCTTCCTGTGGACCTGTAGTATCTCACCTGGCCTTACCTGGCCCCACCTGGCCTCACCTGGCCCCACCTGGCCCCACCTGGCCTCACCTGGCCTTACCTGGCCCCACCTGGCCTGTCCCACCTTCCTGTGGACCTGTAGTATCTCACCTGGCCTCACCTGGCCCCACCTGGCCCCACCTGGCCTGTCCCACCTTCCTGTGGACCTGTAGTATCTCACCTGGCCTTACCTGGCCCCACCTGGCCTCACCTGGCCCCACCTGGCCCCACCTGGCCTGTCCCACCTTCCTGTGGACCTGTAGTATCTCACCTGGCCTTACCTGGCCCACCTGGCCTCACCTGGCCTGTCCCACCTTCCTGTGGCCTTGTACTATCTCACCTGGCCTTACCTGGCCCCACCTGGCCTGTCCCACCTTCCTGTGGACCTGTAGTATCTCACCTGGCCCCACCTGGCCTGTCCCACCTTCCTGTGGACCTGTTGTATCTCACCTGGCCTCACCTGGCCCCACCTGGCCCCACCTGGCCTGTCCCACCTTCCTGTGGACCTGTAGTATCTCACCTGGCCTTACCTGGCCCCACCTGGCCTCACCTGGCCTCACCTGGCCCCACCTCGCCCCACCTGGCCTGTCCCATCTTCCTGTGGACCTGTACTATCACACCTGGCCCCACCTGGCCCCACCTGGCCTGTCCCACCTGCCTGTGGACCTGTACTATCTCACCTGGCCCCACCTGGCCCCACCTGGCCTGTCCCACCTTCCTGTGGACCTGTACTATCTCACCTGGCCCCCATCTGGCCCCACCTGGCCTGTCCCACCTTCCTGTGGACCTGTACTATCTCACCTGGCCCACCTGGCCCCACCTGGCCCCACCTGGCCTGTCCCACCTTCCTGTTGACCTGTAGTATCTCACCTGGCCTTACCTGGCCCCACCTGGCCCCACCTGGCCCCACCTGGCCTGTCCCACCTTCCTGTTGACCTGTACTATCTCACCTGGCCCCACCTGGCCCCACCTGGCCTGTCCCACCTTCCTGTTGACCTGTACTATCTCACCTGGCCCCACCTGGCCCCACCTGGCCTGTCCCACCTTGCTGTGGACCTGTACTATCTCACCTGGCCCCACCTGGCCTGTCCCACCTTCATTTGCCCCCAAAGTGCCACAGGTCTTAGACATCTACCACTTTGGTGAAACCCACCAGCATGGGTATAGTGCTGACAAACCTAGAAACATAATCAGGGTGATCTGGGATTGAAACCCATATTCAAGGTTAATGGTGTGTTTAAGTGACTCAACTCTGCACAGCAAACTGGGTGCCTTAGACGACTGGGCCAACCGTTACCCCAGGAAAAACTAAAGCAAAATGTACACCTGTTGATGAAATTGAATGTACTATATAACTTTAAGTGGTGGAGTGTGCCCGTTGGTGGCAGTGAATATTGTTGATGTTGTGTGAATGCTTGAACTTCGGGTCCCAGTGCATGATGGGAGCATGCACCTACCATGAACACCTAGGGAAGAGCAATAGTGTTTACAACCGACTGGAAAGATGAAAATAACAATACATACTTGCTTATTGATGGCACAATAACGGAGCATCACACTTAGGGGTAAGAATCCATTGCATGCAACGGGTCCCTGGACATCTATGAGATGGAGCTGGGAGAGTGTATGTAAGTATGTGAGTAGAGAGTTTGACATGCTCAGCGTCTGCCACCCTTGCAGATTCTTTGCTACTATCAAGTCTGTCTGTTGGTTAATCTATGGCAATTTACTGTAGAATTTGTTTGCCATTAACAAATGCTTGTCGTAACAGTCAATTAAAATGGAGGTCAGGTTCAGCGACTTGACTCATTCGCTTGACAACAGGAAGTCACCAGTTTGACAAGGCTTGACAATGGGGAGCCACCAGGTGTATGGGGCTTTACAACAGGGAGCCACCAGGTGGATGGGGCTTGACAACAGGGAGCCACCAGGTGGACAGGTCTTGACAACAGGGAGCCACCAGGTGGACAGGGCTTGACAACAGGGAGCTACCAGGTGGACAGGTCTTGACAACAGGGAGCTACCAGGTGTATGGGGCTTGACAACAGGGAGCGACCAGGTGGACAGGTCTTGACAACAGGGAGCCACCAGGTGGACAGGTCTTGACAACAGGAAGCCACCAGGTGGACATGTCTTGACAACAGGAAGCCACCAGGTGGACATGTCTTGACAACAGGAAGCCACCAGGTGGACATGTCTTGTCAACAGGAAGCCACCAGGTGGATGGGGCTTGACAACAGGGAGCTACCAGGTAGATAGTGCTTGATAACAGGAAGCCACCAGGTGGATGGGGCTTGACAACAGGGAGCTACCAGGTGGACAGGGCTTGACAACAGGGAGCCACCAGGTGGACAGGTCTTGACAACAGGAAGCCACCAGGTGGACAGGTCTTGACAACAGGAAGCCACCAGGTGGACAGGGCTTGACAACAGGAAGCCACCAGGTGGACAGGTCTTGACAACAGGGAGCCACCATGTGGACAGGTCTTGACAACAGGGAGCCACCAGGTGGGCATGGCTTGACAACAGGGAGCCTCCAGGTGGACATAGCTTGACAACAGGTTGACAGGGCTTGACAACAGGGAGCCACCAGGTGGATGGGGCTTTACAACAGGGAGCCACCAGGTGGACAGGTCTTGACAACAGAAAGCCACCAGGTTGACAGGTCTTGACAACAGGGAGCCACCAGGTGTATGGGGCTTGACAACAGGGAGCCACCAGGTGGATGGGGCTTGACAACAGGGAGCCACCAGGTGGGTGGGGCTTGACAACAGGGAGCCACCAGGTGGACAGGTCTTGACAACAGGGAGCCACCAGGTGGATGGGGCTTGACAACAAGGAGCCACCAGATCAAGGTCTTGACAACAGGGAGCCACAAGGTGGACATGGCTTAACAATAGGGAACCACCAGATAGATGGGGCTTGACTACAGGGAGCCACCAGGTTGAGGGGGCTTGCCAACAGGGAGCCACCAGGTTGAGGGGGCTTGCCAACAGGGAGCCACCAGATCAAGGACTTGACAACAGGGAGCCACCAGGTGGACAGGTCTTGACAACAGGGAGCCACCAGGTGGACGGGGCTTGACAATAGGGAGCCACAAGATCAAGGGCTTGACTGCAGGGAGCCACCAGATCAAGGGCTTGCCAACAGGGAGCCACCAGAACAAGGGCTTGCCAACAGGGAGCCACCAGATCAAGGGCTTGACAACAGGGAGCTACCAGATCAAGGACTTGCCAACAGGGAGCCACCAGATCAAGGGCTTGCCAACAGGGAGCCACCAGATCAAGGTCCTGACAACAGGGAGCCACCAGATCAAGGGCTTGACAACAGGGAGCCACCAGATCAAGGGCTTGCCAACAGGGAGCCACCAGATCAAGGGCTTGCCAACAGGGAGCCACCAGATCAAGGACTTGACAACAGGGAGCCACCAGGTGGACAGGTCTTGACAACAGGGAGCCACCAGGTGGACAGGGCTTGACAACAAGGAGCCACCAGATCAAGGTCTTGACAACAGGGAGCCACAAGGTGGACATGGCTTAACAATAGGGAACCACCAGATAGATGGGGCTTGACTACAGGGAGCCACCAGGTTGAGGGGGCTTGACAACACGGAGCCACCAGATGGACAAAGCTTGACAACTGGGAGCCACCAGATGGACAAAGCTTGACAACAGGGAGCCACCAGATGGACAAAGCTTGACAACAGGGAGCCACCAGATCAACACAACATGCAAGCCTTGATCAGAGTTTCTTAAACCCAAACAGGGCCTCACTCAGTGCCTCCCACCACTATAAGATCATAACCAACATCTTATTCTCCCATGAGAGCCTCAATCAGCTATTTCATACATCCATATCCTAAAATAGCCATGTATTTGTGTAGACTTCCAGAAGCCCCACTGTACCCCAGATAACCCGATAAACACATGTTGTCAATGATGATCATTAAGCCAGGCCATGTGTCACTATATATACCAGCGTCAGTCCTTGCTATGTTGTAGCTCCTGTTCACTCATGCAGCTTGGTACGTACTACACCCAGACTGCATAGCAGCACTCCCAGGCACTACTCAACCGCAGCTTACTTTCAGGTCTTCATATAGATCATAGAGGTTTTTTTTGTAATTGATATTTTTTATTCCTGTATCCCTGTTACATATTTGAAGCTTTACATAGTTCTTTTCATGTTTGACTCGGCACTTATAGTTCATAGAGTTAGTGAGTGATGAGTATTTCATATTATGAAAGAATACTCTTTCTAGGGTCACTGTGGTTTAGACTTTTGTAGTACTTCATACATGGATCTGCCAGTTCTAATTATAGATAAATTAACAAAAAGAAGTAATATTAACATTTTAAAACAATTAACTTTTTATATCAACATACAGTTCCTTTTTTAAAATCAAAGTCAGATATATACAAAGTTCACATTAATTTTTAAAAATATGGAAATGAAAATAAACAAAATCTACATATGAAGCAATAATGTTTCTGGGAATTTTGTACAGGGGTAGTATATCGATATACACCACATTTGGTGCTTTAGAGGCATAGCTAGACTTGTAAATGGTAGTATATCGATATACACCACATCTGGCGCTAAAGAGGCATAGCTGGACTTGTCAATGGTAGTATATCGATATACACCACATTTGGCGCTTTTGAGGCATAGCTAGACTTGTCAATGGTAGTATATCGATATACACCACATTTGTGTCTTACAGGCATTGCTCGGCTGTTCCAGTGGTAGTATATCGATATACACCACATTTGTGTCTTACAGGCATTGCTTGGCTGTTCCAGTGGTAGTATATCGATATACAAGAAATCTTGTGTCTTACAGGCATTGTTTAGCTGTTCCAGTGGCAGTATATCGATATACAAGACATCTTGTGTCTTACAGGCATTGCTTGGCTGTTCCAGTGGCAGTATATCGATATACAACACATTTGTGTCTTACAAGCATTGCTTGGCTGTTCCAGTGGCAGTATATCGATATACAACACATTTGTGTCTTACAGGCGTTGCTTGGCTGTTCCAGTGGCAGTATATCGATATACAACACATTTGTGTCTTACAGGCGTTGCTTGGCTGTTCCAGTGGCAGTATATCGATATACAAGACATCTTGTGTCTTACAGGAATTGCTTGGCTGTTCCAGTGGTAGTATATCGATATACAAGACATCTTGTGTCTGAGATACCTGGTAAGTCCCCATCCACAGTGCACCACAACCTTCCCGCCAGCTGTGTCAGTGGAATCCTAGGTACTTCATGTATGTGACTGCTTTGGCCTCATCAATAAAACACTACAGGCCTGATTCCCCATCCGTCCAGGATCCAAATACACACAGCTACACACACGTGTACATCAACACTAACATCTACATATACATCTACATGTACGAGGGTTGACGATAAGTTCTGAGTCTTACATAGAAGAAACTGCGTAACTGAGAAATCTTTTGTTGTGGACATTACATGGTGGCATAGAGATATATCCACGATATCTTGAGCCACATTGAGCCAATTCCTTCGCATTGTCTGTGACCTTTGGAAAATGGGCAAATTTAAGGAACATTATGTGATCAAGTACACCTCAATAATCATGATGCACTTTGAGAATACCAATCAACATACATCTCCACAGTAGGTCTGGTGGTGTGAGATACAGACAGTATCACCTCTCTACAGATATCACTGATGTAGGTCTGGTGGTGTGTGATATAGACAGTATCACCTCCCTACAGATATCACTGCTGCAGGTCTGATGGTGTGAGATATAGACAGTATCACCTCCCTACAGCTATCACTGCTGCAGGTCTGGTGGTGTGAGATACAGACAGTATCACCTCTCTA